CTCCATCAAGAAATGTTTCAGTTTTGGCCAGACACCAACAAGAGCAATCATCAGCTGAATAACTCAGAATGCCTTGATGGAAAAATCTCCATACTGAGATCCTAAATCTACCTGCTGCCTTATCTGTGAATGAACTGGTAGTCAAGACAAGCATTCTGGATGGGCATTCCCTTTAAGGTGCCCAAAATATTTATACAATGACTTTATTACAATGCAGCTTTTGCTTCTTACTCAAACAAATGTTCTTACTCCTGTCGCTGAAAAAAATCTTTTACCTTTACAATATAACTGAATATTGCTTAAAATCTGGGTAAGACAGTATGAGCCATTGCTTACTTGCCAATTATTATTAGCTGCAGTGAATCTCATTTAAAGCTGATTTCAGTGTATCTTTTTCAGGAATTAATGATCTTTAACTACAGGCAGAGTGCATTTGCCTTTTAAAGCTATTTTCGGTCAACATAGTGAGGTTATGGAGCATCACAAGATGGTATCTGGCATGCATTTGTCTTACATTTATGCCCAGAGGAACATAATAGTTCCATTTGTCTAACTTATGTATCTTCTATCATTTTTTTCCCCCAATCCATTGTGCCAGGTCGTTCTTTCTTCTGTCATAGTTGGCCTTGTAAAGGAAGCTAAACAACTCCTTTGATCTGATTAGTTGGATATCTAGAAAGTACACTTTATCATAGGTGATAGATTCTTTATTGTTTTATTTATTTCTTTATTGGATTATTTATTTATTTTCTTTTTCATGTGGAGCTTTTTCATTTTACGTAAAGGTCTTACGTAAATCTAGCTGATTAATAAGGTCTAGCTTTTATCTAGCTGATTAATAACATAATCACCGTTATAATTTATAATTGTAAATTTAAGAGTTCATCAGTCTACTGCTAGCTGTTGAGATCAACAGATAATCATTGAGTTATTAAAGGCTGGGGCCGGAGATGCAGTCCCAGAAGGGCAATACAGTGAGTGCATATAGGAAACTACAGTGAACTTCATAGGAGTTATATTTACTATATAGACAGTCTTTTAGGTTGGATTTGTTTTTACAAATGTAAGCTTTAACTTGGATTCTCAGGCAGAATAAAATGGTTCTCTGGAGCAAAAGGCAAGCCTCTGGCGATGGTGTAAGGTTTATTGCTATGGAGAACTGAATAATATTTAAAGGTTAGTTGCTCACCTGCAACACAAAGAAGCGGACCTAATTTCCTGTTAGAGGCCTTAATATTTTACAAAAATACTTTCCCCCCCACACACACATCCAAAAATGAAAGAACAGACTGTGGCATATAACTGAGCCATGTGCATATGTATAATTGCAGTTTGTAGTTTGCCTGAATGTTTCCTTTAAATCTTTGCAGCTTTGTAACTTTTCATATAAGCAGGTTTTGATGTCTACTGTGATGTTATATTTTTATAAATATCTCATACTTGGTCTATTTGCTAAAATGCAGTTTGCTTTGTATCACATTTAAGGCCGATAATGACTTCAAGAAAGACTGTAAACACCACTTTGTAATATTGCTATCTGCCCAATGTAATTTCTATTGATCAGATTGGGCACATAAAATATGAATTTCTGAGAGAAATTCCCACAATATTTTGAAAAGTCCTTATGTGGATTTATTTGTATTGATATGCAACACTTGTTTCTATGATCTAAGCAGGAATGACAAACATTTCATAGTTTTTCATGCTTAGAGGCCCATTTAAAACAAATTACACAGCACGGCATATAGATTACTTCACACTGCATCTGCTTTTGAGCTTCCATTTCTAAATTGAAGGGTACTATGTGGGGCCTGCTGTATGCTGCAGAGTGTTCTATGCAGAACACTGCAGAGAGTATTCCTGAATAGGAGGGGAACTCTGTCACATGACCAGTCAGTCATGTGATAGGTGACAGCTTTCCACCTCCTACTATACCATTCATTAAAATTAATCGGGCTTTGTTTGCTTCAGAGTCCTGAAGGAAGCAAGGCAGAAAGCACATTTATAAAGAATACAACCATGTTTTATGAATGTGCTGGAGGATTTCTTTTTTTAAATGGCATGGCTGCTGTTAGGCCATATTGCAAGGATAGGCCCAATTTACTAGTCACAAAAAGCACAGGACAGAACTCCACCACAAGAATTAAGATACTGTAAAGCAGGGATATCAAACCTCCGGCCCTCCAGCTGTGGTGGAACTACACATCCCATGAGGCATTGCAAGATTCTCACAGACATGACTCCCGAAGAGAGATGCATCATGGGATTTGTAGTTTCACCACAGCTGGGGGGCCGGAGGCTTGATACACCTGCTGTAAAGGATACAACCGAGTAAAAGTGGTCAGCAGCAGGACAGTGTTCACCATGAGTAATAGGCCTAACTAGTGTTTGCCTAATTTTTATTTTATCCATGGGGATAATAGGGTGAGATGAATGTACACTGTTCTTGCACTTATTTTTTTATTTATAACAATGCAAAAAAAGTGAAAAAGTAGATAAGGTCTTGGCAGTTGAAGAACTAGCTATCAGTCAGTTGTTGCAGACAGATATTCGTCCTTAAAAGGATTTTGGGTGTACAGATCTGTGCACACAATGCAAATAAGAGAATTTACCCAGCACTTCACTTCAAAGAATTCGAGCATAATGTGTTAAAAGTAGATGCAAACCAAGTATGATTATATCACTTATCAGCCTATTTTAATGGCTAGCTTTCATGAAAATAACAGCTAATGATACTGATATAAAAATATCTTTGGGCACTTTGTGTTATTGGGTGACAGCTCTTCCCTGTCTCCCACAATCTACCTCCTGCCTGTAAATCACCCTGTCACAGGCTCTCCCAAATGGTGATGCACATGGTACAGGCATATTCCACTTCTCACCATTTAAAAAAGCTTGTGAAAAAAAACAATTGCAGCCAGCAACAAGAAACATTCCCTGTGAAAAACACATTAAGCCTGTTATCACTGTCATGCTTGTGGTCAGGGACAGGCTGTAAAGAGGCAGTAGGACATCATCAATATATAAACATAAAACCTCACCCCACCTCCAGATTTTTGTATATACACAAAACTGGAGCAGACAGAATCTGGAGCAGTTCCAATCAGCTTCTCTCTTCAGTTTGCTCAGGTATGATTTGAACATGAGAGATAGAAGCTGATTGGTTGCAGTGCAAATCTGCTCCAGTTTTATAAATTTCCCCCACAGTATTTTGTGACTTGCAGAACGTTCAGTAAGTATGTATCATCTGCTACAAGAGACCAGCCAGTGCCTACAACCCCCAAACTAATCTGTCCCTATGTACTTTATCAGCATTACTTCCTATGCTTTCCCTGTCACACCTAAACAACTAATCAATATCGCTGCTGGGAACCCACCCTTTCATAGTAAACGGGCTTGCTTATCCAAAATCCCCATTATTGGCCTTGGTCACTACAATGCAAAATCCTGTATTCGTTCAGGCATTAGAAAAGAGTGGAGTTATGGAGAGTGGGTTTTTTTAGGCACTCGGAACAGTGGCTCACAAGAGACGTTTCTTTATGTAAAAAATATTAAATTTTATTCGATGCATGATTAAAAATCGTACACTATGTAAAAGAGTAGGGAGACAACCTAGAAGGATACTATCCGCATACTATCAGGGTTTGCCTCAAACCCATGTTAGATCTAGACCTCTTGCTTCAGTACTTTGACTTCACTGTTCTGCTTACTTATTCCAAGTTAGTGCTTTAGAGTAGCCAGAAGTTATTTGCATACTCGCTTTGGCTCAGTGACTCAGTATATTGAAGCAAGTGCATCAACATAGAAGTTAAGCAAATAGCGTTTTCAGACAAATCTGCGTGACAGCCACCATTTTTAACTCCAGCAAAGCTTTTGTCACCTTTTTTTCCGGTAAAAGTTACAGATTGTCTGCTAAATTTGACACAGGCTATTAAACAGCTTTTTAATAAAAGTGCTACCATGCAGAGCCGTACTCTTAACCTGGCTGAGGAAATTGTACATTTCCATGATTTAATAACACTAAGACTGGGCACACACCTTACAACCATCGCAAGACTTTTGTCTTGCGATGGTTGTAAGGTACTTAAAAAACCGTACGATCTGCCTATCTTGCATAGGCAGATCGTACTTGCGATGATTGCAAGCCACGCACCCTAAGGGGCGGGCTTCCGATGACCGCAATGCCGAACGGGCAGTGTGCGCTTGCGCACACCGGCCCGTACAGCTGTTATCGTACGGACATGCCACACACCCGCCGAACATCGTGCGATGCTCGGCGGGTTTTCGAACATGTCCGTAAGTTTAAAGTCGTGGGACCTTACAGTAGTAGAGGTCGCACGGCTTCCACACACCTTACGATAATCGTACGATCGCGGGATTTCCCGCGATTATCGTAAGGTGTGTGGGGACCTTAAGCAACTGCACTCCTTTTGTGTACTGCTACAGCTATCCTCCTTCACCTCCAAGCATCGAGTATTGTAATCTGTTAGGATACAAATATGGATGGTGTCACTGTTGACTTTTGCCAGGGCATTCCTCCTGATCTTTGCCCAACTATTGCATAGGTAGAAGCCTCTACACCCAGCTTTAATAATTGTATTAGTTAAATGACTTACTACGTGGTAAAGCTAAGATCAACATGACAGCTCCTGAGTCTCCACCTTTAAGAACAAGTTGCCAGTGGCAGCTCTCACTTCTGCCCTGCCAGGTTTCGTAATCATCATATCCTTCATGTTTTCCTCAGTATTACATCAATAGATTGAAGATGCAGCCTGTTATTGTGAATGTTGTAAGATTTAAAGAGTGATCACCTAATGGTAATTTTTTTCAGCATATTCCCAGGTTTATGAAGTTCCCTTCCCAGTAAGATCTTCAGTAATTATTGACCATGCTGCTAAACTTTACCCAGTGTGATCTTTTCAATGCTTTGTTCTTCAGTGGCAACACTGAAAATGAGTTTTATGGTTTATTATAGCATAAAAGAGTAAGCATTGTCATACCTTATAGACTTGCCCATATGTTCCATTTCCAACAACTTCAACCAGCTCAAAGATTCCTGCTGGGTCCTGTAAGATGAAGACAACTGTTGTTCAGATGCTTGTACATTATGTAACCTATTCACACTTCTTTGCATGTCATCATAGAGTGAACAAATGCTTGTAAATTGTAAAACACTCATGTTTATATAAACCCTAAAAGTGAACCTCTCTTATTTTGGTTCCTTTTGGTCTGTTAAATATATCACTGAATGTGTTTGTTTTTTTGATAGGTGAGAAAATATTCCAATTTTAACAAACCGTGCCCCTTTTAAATTACAGAGATACCATAACAAGAAGTAATACATCATAAATATGCAAACAAAATCTCTTTTAATTCATAAACTATACTACCCCAAAAACTGTTGTGGTCCGACAAATCAAAATTTGACATTCTATTTGGCAACCATGGTCCCCACGTCCTTCAGGCTAAAGAGGAGATGAACCTTCCGGCTCGTTATCAGCACTCAGTTCAAAAGCCTGCATCTCTGATGGTATGAGGGTGCATTAGTGTGTATCGAATGGCCAGCTTGCAGATCTGGAAAGGCACCATTAATGTTGAAAGATATATCCAGGTTTCAGAACAGCATATGCTCCCATCCAGGTGACATATTTTACAGGGAAGGCCTTTTTAATTTCATCAGGACAATGCTAAACCACATACTGCATCTATCACAACAGCATGGCTTCGTCGTAGAAGAGTCCGGGTGGTTAACTTGCCTGCCTGCAGTCCAGATCTTTCACCAAATGAAAATATTTGGTGCATCTTGAAATGCAAAATACGACGGAAGACTCGGGACTGTTGAGCAGTTAGAATGTTGAGCAGTTAGAATCCTACATCAGGCAGAATGGGACCACACTCTTCTCCCAAGATTGCAGCAACTGGTCTGCTCAGTTGCCAGATGTTTACAGAGTGTTGTTAAAAGAAGAGGGGATGCTACACCGTGGTAAACATGGTGCTGTCCAAACTTTTCTGAGTTGCCATCAATTTCAAAATTATCTTATTTTTTCTTAAAATTGTAAATTTTTTCAGTTTAAACATTTTATATGTTTTCTGTTTTCTATTATGAATAAAATATGGGTTTATGAGATTTGCAAATCATTGCATTCTGTTTTTATGTAGATTTTAACAAGCGTCTCAACTTTTTTTTGGAATTAGGATTGTAATTTTGATAGGATTTAGGACATGATTTTTTTGTGCATTAAGGCCAAATGAGAAGGCTGGGCCCACCCAATTTACATGATGGACAATATCCATATCTTCTTGGTACACCAGGTCTATAACTATATATGTATATATTAGATATATATTAAATAACCAGTGTCGGCTGAGGTCACAGCTTTGTCATACCCTTCCTCATGTGAGGGTGCTCGATCCTAGTGATTGGCCAATAGACTTAAGAACTGTCACATTTGGAGAAAGTCACATGCTCCCCATAGCCAGAAGCACCTTGTAGTTTACAGTGGCTGAGGTGAGAGAGGAGAGGTGAGTATTAGTAGGTTTGGGAGGACCTTTTCAGAGATGGCCTGAATAGGCAAAGTGTTTCTTTAATGCAAACCTTTGCTTTGTTCTGTTATTAACATGGAACAAGCATGAAGATCAGTTGTTCTGAATTGACCTGCTGCATCTTTGTTGAGGGTCATTTACTGAGTAACCACTGAAACTGGAGACAGTCTGGCAACTGTCATTATCAGGGGGTCAGCAATGACTGCCCTCCAAAATTCTCTCTGTAAAGGTTTCCACAAAAGCAAACCTGTCATCGGAAAACTACATGGATTGCCTTTGCCACCTCCATCTGAAAATGCTCGTTCTAGCTGTCATGTGGATCCCTGATTTTTGATGCTCTGAGTCATGGTCAGGAGGAGAGGAGAAGGAAGAGCAATTGCAGACTTTGCACTTCTCTCTTTTTCTCTCTGCACTTTGCATCTGCAAGTAAAGGAGGGAAAAATGTCAACTGATACAAATAATTTCAACAACTCATGTTTTGTTTTTTCTATAGATAATATTTTTATATTGCAATCTCCTGTCCTTCTTGCTACTAGATTCTTAGAGAGTTATTAAAGAATCGGAGCTGATGAATGTATTGCTCACATACACAAATTAGTCACATTGGTTGTTTGGCAGACCACAGTAATTCCCTTGCAAACAAAGCACATTTGAATTGATTTCACTGATCATTTACGAAACGAAATCCACATGGTAAACTTTGCTCCAGATGATCCATTTAAAAGTTAACCAAAGCCAATCTTGTTTATATTAAATTGTATAGCCTGCTGTACTACTTAAATCGAGGATGCAGGGGTGGTTAAGATTACCAGTTCTCTCTTTAGTGGGCCTGAGAAACTTGGTAAACCACCTCATTGCTTTAGGATGATGGGGTTGCCTGATAGCCATGCCTAGCAAAAGTATTTCCAAAAGTAATTTTTATTTGTTTTATCATTTATATCTCACAATTTTCATTCTACCTGCGTAAAGGAAATCTGTCATCAGACATATGTAGGTTGCCATTGGTCAAAAACAGGGTTTTCAGAAGAAGTAGCTCGCAATGACAGGCAATGTATTTTTTGACAGGTTTAAACAAAAATCTTAAAGTCTGTTAAAAAGATAAACCACATCACAAGATCAGCTACATCTAGGGTGTTTTATATTGCTCTCAGACTAATATATTTACAATGAGAAAGGCGAATATTAAAATACAGTAACTGTGCTGAACTATAAAACTAGAAGAACATCCTCTTTATTTAATACCCGGGAATAGATCTAGATGCCTGTGTGTACATGTATGTATGTTGGCACTGATGGCTGACAGGATTGTGAACCATTTATATTCTACACTTGGTGTAGGGCTCCAGAGTTTATGGCTGATATGGAAAAAATAATCTTTTTCTCAAAATCTTTTCTGGGCCTGGAGCCCTGGGACTTTTGGTTGGATACAGCCTTTCTTTTTAGGTCCACCTCGTAGCTAGCTTAATTCCAACTGTCCACATTGCTTTTTATATATGAGCTGACTGATGTTCAGGGACCTCTTGGTCACTCCAACGTGGAAACCAGCAGCTTTGTTGAACCCATTAGGGGGAATCCTGTTAGTGAGTTTGGTTAGTGGCTCAGGTGAATAGAAGAAATTCCGAGCCTCACATCTGACTGTCTCTATGATTAAGCCTATCTTGTGGAATAGGTAAAAGGCTATGGGATCAGTGTGGGATGCTTTTGCTCTTTACTTGGAAGGTATGAACTTTCAAAAAAATTAATGAACTGTAGGATGTGCGGCTCTACGTTGGAATTTCAGGGTTTTGTTACGTCAGCACATATGTTTGGAGCCTGCACCTGATTGATGTGAGTGGTTGGTTCAGTGTTTGTCTAGGGCTGCAACTAATGATTATTTTCATAATCGATTAGCTGGTCGATTCTTTTTTTGAATTATCGGTTTTAAAAAATTAAATAAACACCATCCTATATTTAAAATGAAATACACGAATGCAGTGTTACAAGCATAAAGTCTATTTCAGAATAAAACTGCATGCAAAAAAAGTTTTGCAATCGCACTGCAATGGAACGCACAGCATTGCTATACCATGCATTCCAGTGCAGGTAATCACACTGTGGGTGGGAGGCGCATTTATGGGTGCCATTGAAATAAATGGCACTGCAACGCACCTCCAGGAGCAGAATTTGTCAGGCCGAAACCGAATATAACTTTTAACCAACCTATTTTCAGCCAGGGAATGACCGCTGCCAGTGGCAAAATTTCGCAGATGGCAGCTGAATGTAAATACAGCAGGTAGAGCGCTGGTACAATAGCCAGCCTGCTATTGGCCACTAGCAGGCTGGCTATTGCACCCGCCCTCTGCTTGCTGTGCCCTCCTCCAGCATGGAGGAGAGAGCTAGGGGATCCAACCAACTAATCGATAATAAGAATAGTTGACAAGTATTTTAATCGATTATTATTGATCAATTTAGTTGGTTGCAGCCCTACTGTTGTCCAACTTTGGGGCTTGAGCGGTGTATACTTTGAAATTCATTGATCAAATGAGTAGATGTTTTGTTTATTTTATACTATGGTCTTATTGTAAAAATCCCTCATGCAGTGAAACTGTTTGGTGCCTTGCTGAGTAAAAGTGCAGGACAAACCTGCTTTGACTTTTCATAGTTGTTCCCCTCTCGCACAGGGTTATCTGCTGCACTCCCACCAAAAAAATATATATCTGGGAGGAGAGTGGATTATGCCCTCTCCTCTTCCTGTATTTCTCTCAGGGCCCATTCACACTATCGCACTACCCTCCCTGCATTCTGGGGCAAGAGAGGGCGTGGTGGTGCCATTCATTCCAATGGCATCACAGACACGTTTCCCGCCCACAGTACGATCGCCCGCATTGGAATGTGTGGTACCACAATGCCCTGCGTTTTAGTGCGGTGTGATTGTAAAAAATTGTGTATGCGGGAGCACTGAGCTAGTCAGTGCCTGCCAGTGTATTGCCATAGTTGTCTCTTTATATTGCTGTTACCAGTTCATGAACACGTTCTCTGTGTATTACTGAAGTATAACATTATGTTGCCCACTGCATGAGTGTTAGATCAAGGCAAAGTTGTCTTTTTTAAGGACTGCATGGTGGCTGCTCTGAAGAAAAGTTGGTACTGGAAACGTGAGCCCACATAACCCCGTATTTAGGAAATGAATCTTCAGAGCTAGTGTGATACACCCTACCACAAAGACTTGTCACTATTAAACCATTTTCCTTAAAACACAAATATATCGACCACAGCCTCTGTTCAGTGCTGCAGGCAGCTACACCTATTGGTTACTAAGAGCATGGTTAAGTACCAATAGCTGGGTGTGGTAGGTGTAGAAACCATAGGGGTTGGCAAGCTTCCAAAAGTGGGCATTTGTTATCAGAATGCCAAAGGTATGCAAAGGCCTTAGGACATAGGTGCTGGCATCTCTGGATGCATACTTTACATTACTGCTGCATCTTCACACAATGATTTATAAGGATATGTTTAATTTGGATGAAAACTTTTTAGCTGAAAACCACATCTAATGTGGTACGGTAATTTGCGTGGGTGTGTGCTTTTTCTGTTCTGTGTATTTAGTAACTCTTAAGTAGTCAAATTAATGTCTAAATAGTAGTTATGGCTTGCATGCTTCCCCGTAGTTTTGCAAGGGCATAATTATTTTTTATGAACAAAAAAACATTTTCATGTGAAACAGTCCTGATGTAATAAAAAAGATAACACAATGAAGTGTGATGATCCCATGCATTCTTGAAAAACACAATGTCATTTTGCTATCTACTTGAAGTAGAACTATGACTTCCCATTTAAAAGGAAATATGTGCTGTAGCATTTAAATATAAGTGCATCTGTACTTATTTTTCAAAGTCCCCCCGCAACGTCCAACAAATACCTGTTGCGTTTGCCAGTAAATTCCACCTAATGCAGTTCCCTGTGATGTGTGGCAACAATCCTACACTGCTCCTGAATTCAGAGCAGAGTTGCCACTTTCCTGTAGTCTGTGCCTTCTGGCACTACAGGTGGGTTGAAAAAAATATTGCAGGGGGCTTGGCTATTGGCATCGTCATTGCTGATTCACAAACCTGTAGCTTATCAAGCAGCACCTGGCCACAGCTTTCTGGATTGACAGCACTGCATTTGTTGCTTAAACCCTCCCACTGTAGACAGCAGTATCTTGGAGGGGAAGCATGTGAGACAAAAATGATATCAGATTTGACTCCGTCAGAGAAGGTTAAAAAAGTATCTAACCATTTTAATAAAAGTGATAATGAAGAGTGAACTTTATAAACATGCAAGTTACACATACTCAGGTCCGAACTTGATCCAACCAAGCATGTTCAGTCAGCAACCAAGGACAGATTTCAGCATATGACTGCACAAATAAATAAAATCAGTTTTTTTATTTGTTTGCTGGTTAGTATCCTTGCTTTACTGAGCCTTAATGTTAATACAAGAAATAAGAACTGTCTGTGTTGCCAACATCAATTCACTGACAGCTTGACTTTATTGTACTGAAAAGATGACTGGAATTAGGATGATTTTTTTGGATCATGGCGGGGTTTGTTTGGACCATGTTATTAAAGAAGCTTCTATGTACACAATGCAGAGTATCCCACAATTACGTGTTATTTAGACACTATTGTTCTAAGCATGCTGGGTTTGCTTTTACACTCAAATTCCAGCCCATATCTGTCTGACATATGAATACAGAGGAAACTCTTAAAAACAATCTTAAAAGCAAAAGCCTGCAATCTTTGCTTTATTGTCCACATGTGATAAGAACTTCACAAGCTAGTCACCCTCAGTTCCCACAGGCATCAGTTTCTGTTTAACCCCCTTCCTTGTAGATAATCTCTGAATGCCTTGTGCGTCCCTGTTGCTGCAAAATGCTTCGCATCTCATGCATCCCCTAATTAACTGTCCTTTAATTGGCAGTCTTAGACCATGCAGCAAGACTGTCCAACTAAAAATAGCAATAATCATCAACTTACTCTCAAAGAAGCCAAGTCGATAAAGTCCAGGCTTTTGTTTGTCAGCATTCTTGCCATCTCTCTTCTGCTCTTCACAGTGCGAAAAAGTTTTATCCCTTTAACTTTTCTAGCAGGGAAAGCACTCTGGTGGCATATCGAAGGCTTGTCAGTGTGTGTCAGCCCATTGCAAAGCTAGAAGTGTGAGTCTTTATGACAAACACAGGAAACTTCACATTCAGTACAACCCGGAAAACACACACTGAGGAAACAAATCTGTTTTTCTTTAAGAAAACAGTGATGCAGAGCTATTTGCTGGGGAAAGTCAGGGAAGGAAATGACGCTGTCGAATTCTGGAGCAGCAAAAGAAAAATTATGAATTCTTTTTATTTATTTGCAGTCTGAGTATATTTAAATGCACATCCTGCATGTGGTGCATTTGTCAATTTAATACTTGCACTATATTGCATTAGTATACAATGCAGGAGCCTGTGCAAAGATTTTTTCTTTTTGTAAGCACATCTGAACTTGTCAAAACAATTGACATTCTGAGCAATATGCAGAGTGAAGGTATCTGTAGCAACCAATCAGAAAATGTATTTTATTTCTCTGACTGCTTGAAACAAATGGAAGTTAAAGTTTGATTATTGGTACGGGTGCACATCATAACTGCTGTCTGCATCACCTTATGGAAGCAGGTCTGTAGCATAGGAAATAAAAGCACATAGCAAATGTATACCACCCAACTGTCTCTCATTTGGAACCAAATCCCTCTGTTTCTCTTTCCACTTGATTTGTGCCTCTTTTTTTCTATGACAATGTACTATTTACCGACCAAAAGTGTTATTTTGCACTAAAACCATCATTCAATCTCTTAATAATATTTGCAATTTTGTAAAGTCAGTACAAAGGAAATGTAATGGTGAAAAGAAAAGGGTGTTTAACCAATCATATTTGGCATATAAATTCTTAATGGACCACATAACTGGGTACGTGGGCAGGGGTGTGTCTATTGTCTAAATCAATTGTACTGAAAGGTGTCTCTTTCTCATCTCAAAGTTGGGATGTATGAAAATGTACATCTGAGTTGGTCTTGCTCAAACAATGACAGACAAACACTCTCCCTAGCCACTTCACAAAATTCTCCTGCTCCCAGCATCTTCTTATTTTTCCATAGGGTTGCGCTTGCATGAGCAAATGGAGTTGTACCATCTCAGTACTTGGCTCCACTCTTCTGCCTCCTACAGACGATGACAGTGAACTGTGCTGCAGGCTGTGTTAGAAAAAAAAATTCTAACATAAAGGAAAAGGAGTGTGCATGCTATTTTTTTGTTACAGTTCTGCTGCAAATAGTCATGTTTCTGTGTTTGCAGGTGCAACTAAAAATAGGGTTGTGGGGAACAACATGGCAGATGAGGTTTATTGTTGAAAAATGTCAAATAATACATTTTGGGGTTAAAAACAGGTATGCCGAATACACATTATTAGGAACGTCAGTAGGGAAGTCAGAAGTGGAAAAAGATTTGGGGGTCATAGTTGACTGTAGAATAAACAATCGCATGCAATGTCAGGCTGCAGCAAACAAAACTAGCTGAGTACAGTCATGCACTAAAAAGGGAATTTACTGTAGAGACAAAACAATAATTTTGCCACTCGCTGGTTCGGCCTCATCTTGAGAATGCGGTTTATTTTGGTCACCAATCCACAGAAAGGATGTCCTGGAGCTGGAGAGGGTAAGGCCAACAAACCTAATTAAGGGGCTGGAGGACCCAAGCTATGAGACAAGGTTGCTACATTTAAATTTGTTCACTCTAGAAGTGAGACGATTAAGAGGGGACATTCTTTTGATGTACAAATTGTTTAATGGTGATACTAATACACTTTTTACTGTAAAATCCCTAAAGAAGACTAGAGGCCACCACTAAAATTGGAGGAAAAAAGATTCAACCACAAGGAGAGTAAGGGCTTCTTTTTAGTTGCAGCTGTACAATTTTGGAACTCGTTGCCACAAGAATTGGTATCAGCAGAGAGGCAGAACTCACAAAGGCAGAACTCGATGGAACTGTGTCTTTCTTCAACCTCCAATATTATGTAACTATGTAAAATTAGGCCTGGTATCCTTTATGGCAGCCCAAGAATCTTCAGATCTTTGGACGGGAGCGAGCGGGGGAGACCGGGGTAAGTAATAACCTGTTTGGTAACATTTTAATTTTTAAAAATGTTTTTGCATATGTCTACTGCTTGCCAGCAGTAGATATAGGCAAACAAGAAAAGGTTTCATGCTACTTTAAAGTGTAATTATTTCCCAGAAAAAAGAGACAGCAAAATAATATACGGATTCCCTATACCTGAATTATAACCTTTTAATTGCCTACATTTTGAACATGAGAGACCCCAGAGGCCGTGAGACTGTGGTGCTTTGGTGCAGTGCACCATCTGGTGTTTTGGTGCAGTAAACTGGACTGCAATAGAAGGTGGTGATGTGCTGCTAACAAAGTGGCTCACCTGTTAGTGGTGATGTGCTGCTAAAGGTTGAGCCAATGTCTAGGGTAAGAGTTGGCAGTATCAAGCCATCAGTTTTGCCTATTTTATTTCTGTCTTTTGTGCACTGCTTGACATTTGTGGCTAAATTCAGCAAGATAACTATAGAGGTTAGATGGTGCATAGTATGTTGTGAAGAGTCGGTAGGCCCTTCATAGTTTGACAAACATGAAATGTCTCTTGTTTGTTGCTCTTTGTAGCTGAGTAGCTCTACACATAAAGCAGACACCATACTGCATTACATGCTGCCTCCAGTAAAGCTAGCAGCCATTTTTACTGCGGTGATAAAAAGAATGGATATACTCATTTGTCTAGGTACAGCCTTGAGTGTACACACAACACTGGCTAGGGCACCGTGTGTCACTCATGTGCCATGGATGGAAATTCATGCATCTTAACAATAATTGTGTTATCAGCACTTCGAGTTTGGTTTAATGTGAGTTGTGTTATGATCCACTCTGCAATTACTTGTTAATTGCAAGTGAGTGTTCATTTTAGGCCAATCTGTTGGTTGCCAGAACTGTCCCCCTGCATCTCTCATTGATGTAAAGGCAAGGTGAAACGTGGCATGGGACATACCAACCAATCAGATTACATCTGTCATTTTGGGAAATGGAAGCAAGATTCTGATTGAATGGGAAAGCTGTATTAAAAAGGGGAACTATGGGGTTAAGGTTTTTCCCCATAGTTCTCCTTAGGGTAACAGGAGGACACAAAATAGCGTCCTACCGTCACCCTAAGCTCAGTATACCGCGAGCTGTAGCTCGCGGTATACTGAGACGCCGCAGCTAAAGTGGATCACGACAATTATGTCTGGATCCGCCCAGCTGCATGACTGACAGCTGGCTCTGCCTATCTAGAGGCAGAGCCAGCTGTACCCGCCCCGTTTGCTCCGCCAGTTAGCGCTGGCGGATCGGAGCGGGGAGCGGGGATCCAGCCCCTCCCCTCTTGACGGCAGAGAGCTGTGACAGGATCGAGAAGTGAGCGAACGCCGGTATGTGTTCGCTCACCTCCAGATCTACTGAGCCGACCTGTGACAGTCTCATTGTCACAGGTCGGCTAGAACTATGAGGTAAGTGAAAAGCACTCACCTCATAGTTCTCCTTTAATTAAGGCACAGTATTTTCTTGGTATAAGTCGCAGCCTGTTTTCAGACATTTTAGTTTAATGTTACTGTGAATAATCAAAGCTGATGAAATACACTGCAAGTGTTTGAATTAATCCAGGAGCATTGAAATAAAATGTGGGCAAATAGTGTTAAGTTGTAATCAATGACTTATGAATTATGTGAAACTCAACAGCCAGCTATACTGCAACCTTTGCTTTTCTTTCTATTTACATTTATAGATTACACTTGATACACATTTAAAGTTATACACAGTTGGTTTAAAAGGATACCTGCACACGAATGACCTGCCTTTATTTTTTAACACTAGTACAAAAATACAATATTCAGATAATTGAATAACTTTAAATGGTATTCCTTTCCCTCACTCTCCTTTTTCTTACCGTTCTGTCTTCTGCTGAACAAAGAAGCATCGACAGGAACCAATATTCTGTGCTCCGTTCTTTCTTGCGTAGTTGAAAAGCAGTCCTTCACCCAGACGTATTCCTCACTTAATGTATCCAGCTCCAGTGTATGTGTTAATAAAATTTCTCATTACTACCACTCTAGTGCTTTTACATGCTTTTTTTATTTGCTTAATGCTTCCACAGTTCAGTAGTTTTTTTGGTCAGGTGGCTCCCAGCACACTGCAGTAATTAGTTTACTCTAGGAGATGGCCCTGTCTGAATATTTATGACATTATGGCATCTGCTTCTTGCTAATTTATGTTCACTTGCAGTAGAGGTAGTGTCACTCTTTTTAGAATGTCCTCCTGGCTCCCAGTTTGTCACAGAAGAGTGAATATTCAATTCTTCTTTTGATGACCTTTTATAAATGTTGAAAAAATCAGTGAGGCTCAAGTAAATGCTATCAGTAGTTGTGTGGTATGTCAAGAATGGATATACAGGGAGCTGAATGCTTAACATTGTCTAAACCATTTGGCCTCTTAAGACCTCTTTATTAGATTGGCCATCTCAGGCGACGAACAGGTGGGGATGACCCTAGCAGTAACCATAGACGTAAGCTCACACTACTGTTCATCACCATTTATATTTCATGCTATTATGACCATATTTACAAAAGAACAAAGCTAGTACTCAGGAAGGGGGGGCATTTTTATTTTGTATTTAATATTGCTAACAGTCATTCCTGCTGACATTACTGGAAATGACACATTGCTCTATGTATGTATCACATTTTTAATTTACTTATACACATACTGTCATAGCTGAGAAAGTCTGAACTAGAAATATATTTCTCAATGTATGTTGTGTTGGCGGCATGATGCAGATAGGGGAGTACAGACACAAAATTTTGGGGTTGTTAGGTCCTGAAGTGCAAAGTGCCAACTCTCCAGTTGGAAAGAAAATATGTAGATTTGTTAACTGGTTATTGATTTCAGTAGCTCCATATTTCAAACGATATTCTGCTAAAAGTATTGGGAATGTGAGGATTTTCTTAGTATTATAGGTCATACATTTTTTTTAAACCTCCTAGGTGAAAAAAAAAGAGAACTGGATCACAGTGCTGCT